GGATGGCGGTTATATCCGCGGGCGCTGCGGATAATCCGCGGATCGGGTGGGTCGGGTAATAAAAAAAATGCATTCTGATTATTTGCGGGTGGGTAAAAATAAATCATTAATGATGCAAGTATTAACTACATTTTCTAAATTATGAACGTGTTTTAAATATGCTACAGAAATTGAATAAACTGTAAATTAACATTAAAAGTTATTCAACAAAACATTATTTAGTCAAGAGCAGTAAGGGATTTTCTCTGTCTTTTGTTGTTTGATTAACATTAATAAAAGACGGCACAGCTTTATTAGGCTGCTGTCACAAGACTTATTTCACGGATCCAATACTGATACTGTGACTGTGAGCGCACGCGCCTCTGGAGAGCGTGAGTACCGAATGGCTTAAAAAGACGTGAAAATAATACATTTTTGTGACGATGCAACAATGACCAATGAACAATGATTAGGCAATTGACAATTCTGTCAACTGTCCCGAAACGTGAGCTAAAGTCTTTTATCGCAGCGTGCAGCAGCTCTAGATGCGTCGATGTGAAGCGAAAGTCAAAGAGAGAATACGCGGTACAGCTGAATCACCTACGCTGTTTTCATCTGATGGTTTGTGTGGATTTGTTTACTCATCTAACCTACACGCTATATTGAATGAAGGTTTTGCAGTAATTTCCCTCATTTTAAAGTCGAAATGTATGTGCAATCCCGTAACGAAATTCAGGATCTGATTAAACATAATTCTATTATACAGAGACTTGTGAACTAGATTTTCATGACTTTTCAAAAACTTTTTGAGTTCTTTTATTTTTACAAAACTTTCTAGGCCTGGAAATCACCGTTCAATGACTTTTCCAGGTATTTCATGACCGTACGAACCCTAATGTGATGATCGGGTGCGGTTATCTAAATCAGACAAAAATACAGGTGCGGGCGGTTGGCGGGTGGATAATTTACTTGAAGCTGCGGATTCGGGTGACGTTTTAGCTCATCCGCGCATCCCTAATGTAGAGAGAGAGAGAGAGAGAGAGAGAGAGAGAGAGAGAGAGAGAATTGAAACACAAATGGCTGGCAATGTACACAGACTAAAGGCCTGCTAACAATCAATGCAAAGTTTCACTGCGACTAAAAATGATCTGTGGATCCCAACACACTGACTGCAAAAGCAAATCATTTCATGCCAACTTTTTCCAAATGGTAGAGAAAAAAACCTCACTGACCAATATAATGTAAGCTTTTAGGTTTCATAGCACGATACAGGAGATATCAATACAGTTCAACAATAAAAGTGTATCTTGCATTAAAGAATAAATCTGTATAGTCAAATGAGTCCTGCATTAAAGCATGAAAATGAACGTAAGAAAATTAAACTCTGGATGAAATTCTGGGTTATTTGTGCATATAATTGTTGCAGCAAAATGTGGGATGCATGTCATTTCCTGTTCATATCACTTTGGGTGTGAACAGGCCTTAAAATTATAGTCTAGCTTAGCTTTTTAAAACCTGCAAATGAACAACACACTTTATCAGACATTTGGACATTACAATCAACTGCTGGAAAATAGCAACACAAGATAATTATATGAGGAGCTGTTAGTCTGTTAACATCAACATCGTGAATCAGACAGAGCAGAACAAGAGATGCTTACCTCTTTGGATAAACGAGTAAATACATCCCCACCCCTGAGAAAATCCAAAATTAAATAGAGTTTCCCTTCTGTCTGAAAGGCTGTGAGTGAGTGGAGAGAAAACTATCAGAGCCGGGGGATTCCATGGAAATGTCAACCATACCATTGAAAAGAAATAAATAAAGCAAGCAAAGGAACAACATCACTTTTAAACAGTCCCTTTAAGGTTATATTCATTGTATACAATGGATTTTTTTTAATTATTATTATTATTTTTTGAAATATATCACATTTTACAGATTGAGAAATGTTTACATACACCTTCATAACAGTACTGCTTTCTGAGTTTATAAGCGTCACATTTACACAGTCACTGGGTTTAAGTGATGCTGAAAACTTCAGCAAAAAGTCTGGAATGCGCACATTTCACCAAAATCGGCTCAAATGATCATTGAACAGAGCTGCATACAGCGCTGACCAAACCAAGATGAACTTTGGTTTACTCTATTACAAAGCTACATCTTGTGAAACAACCCCATAACTATCACTCAGAAGGTTTCTCCAAGAGTCTTACCATAGTGCAACCTCACAATGAAAGGATGATTGACCTCCACCAGAATATCTCTCTCCATCTTAGTGCGAACTCTGTCCCTCACTGCAACACAGCACACACAAATGATGAATAAACGCGAGTATATCATCACAGAAACGTGTTGGCACTAATGCAGACACTCACTGACCTTTTAAAGATGCCTTTTTGAGCACCTTCATTGCATAAAGTTGACCAGCATCTGGACCCATTAACTTCCGCACCAAAAACACCTGAGAACAGATCACAGATCACTTTCCAGCTTACACTGACAGCAAATATACAAATTCTCTAATATCAGCATACATGAAAACTAAATCTGAAGACAGATGCTCATTAAACCAGTCAAGAAAGGTCTTGATTCACCCTGAAATAAAAAAAAGGGAACTGCATTGGAGAATATGTATTATTTCCCTCCCACAAAGAGTTTGAGGTCTTCGGTGATGCTGTGGGTTTTGTTCAGAAATGTCAGATACGGCAGGGAGTGAAGTCCAATAATTCTCCCATTTCAATTTTGACAATGTGGGAGTTTCTTCATCTATGGGCTATTTGGGCCTGTGGACATTTAGAAAAAATAAACACTTTTCACACTCTCACTAGTTTAAGCTTAATTTGCACATTATCAATGTCAAAAAGAAAAAAAAAAAATGATGAATTGTTTCTGAGTAACCAAGTAATCCAGGTAGGGCTGATCGACGTGGCAAAAATAAAATAAAATAAAAACCCTTTTTTTTTTCTTCCTCAGAACGTTTGACCGATTCTCGATTTTTACGATTTTTAACAAGTCAACTTGAAAATGTAACTACATGATTCAAGTAACGTTTTCTTTATTAATCCTCTAGTTAAAGAAAATTCTATTCCAAGTGCAGCACACATGAAGATGTCAACATGTTGTAAATGTTAAACAAATCACTTGTTAAATATCTTTGCAGAAAAGATGCATGAACTACAACTACATCTTGTACAAACTTGACTTATACATATTATATGTTCAGAAATAAGGAATATGCTTTAAAAAAAAATCTCAAAAGTCAAGGTGATTCAAGGTGACTGAAGGTATAACACCAATAGACTATTATTAACTGTAAATGTTCTGTAAAATCAACAGCAGCTTTCAGCCTGTCACCATGATGCAAACATGAAATATCAGACATACAGTAGTAGTCCTTTACAGGCTTTTATTCGATTGTGCTGCTTTTCCATTGTTTTTCTATGTGAACATGGACGCGTTTGACCATTGTGCTTGCGTCTCAAGCATGAAACGGCTTTCTAAAAAAGCAGTCCTCAAGTTAAAAGAAGTTAAACCCCCATCTTCCAGCATTTTTTCCTATTCCACTGCCCACTTCGCATCTAAATATCTTTGCAGAAAAGATGCATGAACTACAACTACATCTTGTACAAACTTGACTTATACATATTATATGTTCAGAAATAAGGAATATGCTTTAAAAAAAAATCTCAAAAGTCAAGGTGATTCAAGGTGACTGAAGGTATAACACCAATAGACTATTATTAACTGTAAATGTTCTGTAAAATCAACAGCAGCTTTCAGCCTGTCACCATGATGCAAACATGAAATATCAGACATACAGCAGTAGTCCTTTACAGGCTTTTATTCGATTGTGCTGCTTTTCCATTGTTTTTCTATGTGAACATGGACGCGTTTGACCGTTGCGCTTGCGTCTCAAGCATGAAACGGCTTTCTAAAAAAGCAGTCCTCAAGTTAAAAGAAGTTAAACCCCCATCTTCCAGCATTTTTTCCTATTCCACTGCCCACTTCGCATCTCTGTCAACACAAAAGCGCATTCTGTGTGAATGGCTTCTTATGGTCCTTCACAGTTAATCACGTGCGCCGACATGCGGTCGGATCATTCTTTTCTCTTTACTCTAAACATTGGCATATTGTCAAAGTGTCTAAATGCATGAACTACAACTACATCTTGTACAAACTTGACTTATACATATTATATGTTCAGAAATAAAGAATATGCTTTAAAAAAAAATCTCAAAAGTCAAGGTGATTCAAGGTGACTGAAGGTATAACACCAATAGACTATTATTAACTGTAAATGTTCTGTAAAATCAACAGCAGCTTTCAGCCTGTCACCATGATGCAAACATGAAATATCAGACATACAGTAGTAGTCCTTTACAGGCTTTTATTCGATTGTGCTGCTTTTCCATTGTTTTTCTATGTGAACATGGACGCGTTTGACCATTGTGCTTGCGTCTCAAGCATGAAACGGCTTTCTAAAAAAGCAGTCCTCAAGTTAAAAGAAGTTAAACCCCCATCTTCCAGCATTTTTTCCTATTCCACTGCCCACTTCGCATCTGTCAACACAAAAGCGCATTCTGTGTGAATGGCTTCTTATGGTCCTTCACAGTTAATCACGTGCGCCAACATGCGGTCGGATCATTCTTTTCTCTTTACTCTAAACATTGGCATATTGTCAAAGTGTCTAATTCTAACGTTTGGTAATATTTCTATTCAAAATCGTGATTCCCCGATTTATAAAAAATTTAATTGTGGCAAAACATTAAATTCGAATTAATCGATAGAATCGGAAAAATCGCCCAGCCCTAAATCCAGGGTATTCTACAGCAGTTCATCTGATAAGAGCGCACACCAAACATGCGGACAGAGACCCGTCATTTCTGGGGGTCTCAGTCCACTTCCAAACAAACTCTGGTGCAGTTCGACTAAAATATGAATGCAATATGGACAAAAATATATCTACAGAAACTGAAACACATTACAGCTTGGTACTGTTACTGGAGTCGCTGTCTCGTTGCAGCAGATCTTCGTTTGTGTGTGCATCAGAGGAATTCCTGGTGCAGTTTTGACTCCTTTACATATTTTATAAGCTCTTTGTGAGTTCTCAGCTTGTAAAATACCACCATGTACACACACATAGGACTGTCACTAACGATTATTATGGTAATCGAGTAATCGGTCGATTATTCTGACGATTAATCGAGTAGGCTAATCAGATAATTATATAAACATATATTTTTTGAGGTAAAACAATTTTCCTGTTTAACACTGTAAAGCTGCTTTGACACAACCAGTGTTGTATAAAGCGTTATACAAATAAAGGGGACTTGACTTTCCAACACAGTTCTTTTCCTTTTGTAGACACTGATATTCTTCAGGAAAATGTTGGCTTTGGATGTAAAATAGAATAGACTGTTCTGCTTGAATCATATCCTCAACAAGGAGGTGTTGTGGGTCCAATTTTGTCATACTGTCTGACCAGAACACAGAACTTGCTAGTTCCATCTGTAGTTCTGACTTTAGGAAATCCGTGTTGCCAAAACAGCTGCAACACGTTCAAGTTTTGGAATTGTTGTGTGTTTTAATGGAGCTACCCGTGAAAAATCTGAAAGCTATCCTCTTCCAGTGTTGCCAAGTTAATTGGGCTGCTTTAACACTGTTGCCGCGGGTTGTTTTTCATGTCCGCGGGTTGAAAAACAACCCCATTAACGTGATATTTAGCCCCTGGAATGCGAATTTTACCAGGGGAACCCCGCTAAAACATGCTTATTTTATCCTCGGAACGCAGTTTTTAACGGGGGACCCCTGGAAACGCGATTGGGCGGGTTTTGTTGTGAAAACCTGGCAACCTCTTCTTAAAAGCAGTGGCAACCTCAAGAGGAGGAAACGCATCAAACTAACAAAACACCCCGATCAAGTTCAAGCAGGTAAGTTTCAATTACATTTTTAATATTTAGAGCTTCTGTTATGAATCTTATTCCATATTTTAATTTGAATTTCTGATTGAAATAAACATTGCCGTTAGCGTATACGTAGTTAATCGTTAGCATAAGCGCGGCTAACGCTAATATAATGAGCATTAGAATGAATTGTTCATTTTGTTCAAAATGATTTCTTTGTTAACTATTTAATGCTCCTATAACTTTTACTACTGTAAAAAACAGGACGACATAATGGTATTTACTATTTTTACACACCAGAGGCTTTTAAATGAACTGTGTAACCAAAATATGCGTGTTAGAGAAAGTACAAATGTATGGTTAACAGTGTTTATGTCATATCAGTCCGTCAGAAAAAGGTTTTTTTTTTTTAGTTAGTTGTAATTCTTGGCTGAATATCTCTAGCAGGTATGAACACAGTTTGGATTAAATAAAAGTAGTATCAAATTGTATCTCCTGTATAGACTTTACTGTACAATGATGTTTTCTAACGTGAGTTAGATCTAGTAACATCTTACAGTGAGTGAACAAGAAAGTTATATTTTAGCTGGCGTCAATGATCTAAATGTTGCATTTGGTCAGACTCAGCCCATTGCTTTACTTAAGTATATTATATTTTCCTTTTACAGCTGCAGACTGAGGAAGATCCTGAAACACACCAGCAAACCCTAAAACAGACAACAGTTTACAGATGTTTTTCAGTGGCAGCAGAACTGACTAAACTTTTGGGTGAAACTTGTTTACTTTTTTTCACAAGTTTTATTACTTGTGGGGAAAACTTGAAACACTTTTAAATAAGTATAAAGAATGGCATTGGTTTTGTACATTACATTTTTGTTTAACGTTATTAATAAAAATGTTGTTCAATTAGCATGTTTTTGTGTTTTGCTTTGGTACCGAAAACCGTGGATTTTCACTGGTATTGGTACCGAATACTGAAATTTTGGTACCGTGACAACACTACTCTCAACCTTTCGTTGGAGACATATACGACACAGCTCATATTAGCATTATGCTAACGCTAAAATCGCATTGTTAACATCGGTTTAGAACAATAGCGATGTTGTGAAGAGTATTTGTTTCCAGATGTACTATCATTTAAATCAAAATACAAGCTACTAGAGAACCATATTTATTTAGCACAATTTGCAGCACTGCACAAACACCAGCTGCACTGTTCATCAAAAACGTTCCTTCCCATGTGAATACTCTAACCTAATAACATGAGCAGCAAAGAAATATGCACTGCTCACTCTTTCGATGTAAAACCTTAGAATTAAAATTAGGGGTGGGGGAAAAAAACGATACATCATAGAATTGTGATATTTTCCGCGGCAATACTGTATCGATACACGGACACCAAGTATCGATCTTTTATTATACTATTTGGTAGAATAACAATCAATTTCTTTACAGTCCACTAGATGGTGGTGTTGAGTTTTTTTTCTAAATTCCTTTAATGCACGGCAAGCCGTTGATTATCCCGCTTATTCCATGGTTATTTGCCAGTATTGACAACTTATAAAGCTGTTTATGATGTTATCAGCGCAATATTTAACCAGAAGGGTAAAAATGACGGTTATTTTCGTCAGTTATGGCTC